AGTCTGTTCCAGACTCCAGTTGTCTTTTGCCGAAGCTCAGACTCTGGCACATGATCAGGAACGATGGAAGCTCTTTGTGACGCGTTTGCATCCGCAGCCCGAAAGGAGAAGCGGCGATGGAAGATGAAGATGATTTACTTTGCAGTGCATTCGGCATCAGGAGTGATGATTGTTTAACTCTTTCCTTCTTAACAAGGCGTGCTGAGTTCAAAGTTGTACGATATTTATGTATGTTTACTCAGAAAGGCGTCATTTTCACACTGTTGCTTCTGCATTCGCTGACTCATTGAATACGAGTATTATGCAACCGAAAATGGACAAGAGGATAGAAATAAAAAATAGTATAAACAAAGCACCGTTGCAGTAAACATGAATAGGTATGCAACAATTATAGGCGTTGAAAGTGACGTTCTTTCTTGTAAGCTGCGGTCCAGACATCGCCGTACTGCTGAATCTCTTGTCCGTCAAAACTACTACACGCAACGGTGTCACGACCTCAGCGATAGGTATATCTTTTCAGGTGGACGTTCGTCTTCACCCGCCGCCTTTGCAGCCATGTTACTTCTTAGTAGTCGCTTAAAGCGCGTACATCGAGGTGGAGTGACCTCGTCGCACTCACCGATCGATCTTCGGCACAGTTCAAGTTCACACTGAAATTTTAACTCAGCAGTGTCGCTGAACCTGTACGCCCAGGATTCAGCGTATGCTCGATTTAGCTCAGACGAATAGTGAACGTTGGTCTGAATGAGAGGGTCAGCCGCACAACCACGACTGTCCAGCAGCTGGACTCGACTCGGCGGTGGCTGCGACCATCAGTCACACAACAAGAATGAACCAGCAGCCCGTAAACGTCGCCGTCACATTTTCAAACGTGCGCCACTTTTGTGCCAATCTCAGCGTAGCGAATAACCTCACCATTCTCCGAATGTCGGTGTATGACGTAAGTGCATTCGGGCAGCTTTGAGGTACCGTTGATTTCTATGGCCTTCAGCGGCTTTACGTCTAGCTGGCTTTTGACTCTTCGACGTCGTGGTATGGAACACAGCACCTCAAATCCATGGTCAGCATGAATTTCAAACGTTCCGTGGAAACTAATGACAATCGTAATAGTCAAGGTTACGCCATCCGAGTCTGACCTTGTCTTGAATGTGTTTTCCTTCATGCCGCACTCGTTCTGACCAATTAACATGGTGACCTGAGTTTGATCGAGGTTCTTCACGAAGTTGCGTGAGCACTGCCTGTCCGCACTTCGTCCCTTCACGTAAACGCGGCTAACGAATGGCTTCTCCGTCGTGAACGAAATTCTCACATCAGAGCTGCGGCAATCCACGGTCGGAATCCCAATCAATCTGTTGCCGCTGCTGTTTGTTACAGAGGAAACACGAATAGCAAACAAGCACAACAGACATGACATACGTTTCATCACTAAGCATAAGGCATGAATTTAGCATGGCAACAGAACGATCATTTTGATCCATTTGCAAATATGTAGTTGCGTATCTGGAACATCGGCCAAATTATTACGGCGATTCAGAAGCTCCATTTATTGTCCTTCGTGAAAGCAAACACAACTGGTCTACTGCACTGCGAATGACCCAAATTCTTTCTCGATGATCCTAATCAAATACCAAAACAGAACAGATGAAATAGTCAGCCGCTAAATAACGCTTCACATTCTTTTCATTAGCTCTGAATAGTTCTGAGGACACTGTGCCCAAATTTTGACAACGCCGTAGAAGCATCGCCTGTTACCATTGTTATAGCAGAAGGAACCAAGAAGAAACCATCGCACTGAATGAGTAGTCTCAGAAGTGCATTCACCATAATCTAGCTATTCCTTCAAAACGTTGTATTACGTACGGTAATGTCGTACGTCTGTCCAGTATTCGCGGAATCCTGCGAGTCAGTCGTTCCTTAACTGATGAATGGGCAAAGTACAGTAGTTGAGAACGAACAAGAAAGAAAAGTGAATCATGTTCACTTTCAGGAGAGTTCTACAAAAATTTGTAAAGCTGATACAGTGAAAAAGTTTTAAAACTTTTACTTATAAAATTTACGATGGCCAATCTGAGATCACTCCCTGATGGAGTCAAGACCAGTTTATCGATGCCCATGCTTTGAACTTTAAGCATCTACAAGTATTTACAATAATAGCGTTCCATCTTTGAAACTCTCGTTCTACTTTAAACACGTGGTCATGAATATGTTCGATAGAGCATATGCAGCACAAATCACATAGCATTGTTTCACGATCAGTGCACTGACTAGAAGCAGGCCTTGAACCGAAACTTGGCAGAACTCACATCGTGTTTAAATTGTGTTGTATTTGACGTTGAAGCTGCTTTGGCCTGTCCCTCACAGAGTCTACCGATCGCGTGTGATGATGATCAGCATGCGTATCACAAGCTTGGAACAATTCATGCAACGCTAAGAGATAATCAGGTGTAGTGTTTTTTTCTATCTGACTACGGAACTAAAAATATCTTCCTTTCATTAAAATTATTTTCATATTTAGTTAACTAGTTTTGTTTCGTTTGATTAATTATTTTGCTTTGCATGAGTCTACTTCCTGAAGACGGTTTGCATATGACCCTGCATATCCACAGTACAGTGTCAGGAACTGAGTGACTGCTGATGAATGATACAATCGTTTGTCAACCGTTTTTAGGCTGAAGGCTTTCAGAGCTATTTCTCCAATTAGTAGACTCGCAATCTCTAGCATGTGCGGTAATATTTCATTTTCAAAGTTTCAAAAACTTTACTTGCTGATACCGAATTTTCAAATGTTCGATTTCAGTGCAGCATCATCTTTCGACGTTGCAAAGAAGTGAGTAGAAACAGAGTCCTACGTATGCATGTGTCAACGAGAAAAGCCTCAAGGCCACCAGGAGCAGGTAAGTGCAATTTACAAAATTTTATACATGAATATTTTGGCATTGCTGCCCGTTGTACGGGCGACAGTCAAGATCCATCATTGAAAGTTAAAAACTACAGTAGCCAGAACTGAGGCTAACTGAGTTGTAGAAGTATATCGATGACCCTACGGACATTGTTGACTGGAGCATCAAAAATTGTTGTTGCCAGCTTCGCAATGCCAGAGTGGTTAAAAAGTATTAAGTACACAAAATCCGTTTCAAATATTTTTGTTCAGCGCACTCGCGCTGGCCAAGAATCGATACATTCAAACCTTAGACATTCAGGATAATTCGAAAAGTACACTACAGTCAACTAGGTGAAGCAGCCTCGTCAGTGGATTTGCTGGCTGCTTGAGGCGCCAGCAGGAGTTAGCATAGAGCAAGGAAATGGCCTCAGGATGTTATGGCTGCAGCATCACCGTTGGAAGCTGTCGCGCTGGCTCAGTGACTAAAAACAAGATCTAGTTGAAGCAATAAAATGTTGACATCTAGATATGTTTAAAATATCTTTTATCGAGGATTAAAGTTTCAAGATTTCAACAACTTCTACATTGTTCACTGTGGAACTGATCTGGCGATGCCGACAATGCCAGGGTAGCAGTATTCATCAGCCCTCAACTGGAGGTAGACACTGTTTCCGTCTGCGATGTCGGCTGCTCTTCGGCGCTGACCTTCATAACTTCTCTTTGAAAATCCACAGATAATCTTCACGGGCTACCGTGTGGCTGCCTACCACCCTGTACTGTACAACATTCTAAAGAGCTCTTTCGCAACTTCACCAATTTGTTAGATATTGAGATAAAAGTTGAAAATAAATCTAGGAACCGAAATTGGAAAGAAATGAGACCTACCAAATCCGCACCATCGATCCACTGAGATGGTGGAGCTGGTCGAAACAACGAGCATCCAATCCAACGCTGGTTGGCAGGTATTTGTGATTTATGTTTTGCGTCTTTCTATGTCTTTCCTGTCTGTAGTGTGTAGTAACTGCGGATTTGCATGAACAAAATTTATGCAATGAAAGTTGTAGTATTTACTCAAAAAATCCTTCCCTAAATACATGTGCTATTTTGCTCCAAGAATTCTGCATTTCAACGAAAGTTGACAATGGCCTGGCCTATCTTGATGAGTGCAGTAAATTTATGACTGACAGGGTTTCAAGTGATAAAAATATCGGTGGTGTTGCTTTACCGACCGATAAACATTCGTGTTCGAAATCCACACCGATTTTTCGCCATTACTGAAGATAGAGTCCAAAGCTTTATAGTAAAATGCTGCTGCAAGCGTCTTCGCAACACCTAGGAAAATTTACTGGGCCCACTCTGTGTTACGCCGGACTAGCCTGTCGTAGAATGCGATTTATGTGGTCGATGATTTTGACAGAAAATGCTGTCAGTTCTTGTTCTCCGTGGGTCAACCACCGTCAATTGAGGTCAACATTTGCTTCAGCACTTCGCTGGAGCAGATTTTCGCTGAATGAAATGGACTACTGCATCGCAAACGGTTCTGCTCCCGTCAGGGATTCAGATTATTGAGTTGCTCACGTCATCCACACTTCGGATAAGCGTGCCAGCCACGGTTAACCACGCTAGCAATTGTCGCATGATCTTCTTGAAGCATTGCTCGCATCGACCAAAACTGCACTACTAGAAACTGCAGTACAGATGAGGTTGTCTTTTAATTAGAAGAATTCAATGAATACGTCAGAATTGTTTCTGTCAATTTGACGTTCGTCCGTAATCTGTACTGTCGCGCTGGAAAGATATTTATTGAACATCACTGCTCTGCATCAAACAACAGGTGAGGCTGCACAGGTGCAATGGAAACGCTTACAAAAAGCTAAATATTTTTCTAAATAACGTACGGAAAGCATTAAAGCATGCGTGTTGAGATTATACTGATGTCGTGCTGGCCATCAACTGCTAAATTCAAAACCCGAAGACCTCTGGAAAAATGCCTGCATCCTCACAGGATATAAAAATTTACAGCAAAAGCAGCACCTTAGACACGAAAGAACTGAAGGAATACTTCTTGAAAGTACAACTGGCATTCAACAGCATACCGCGATGGATCGCTGTCAGTTTTAGACAACGGCTTAAACGAAGCCTAAGTGCGTAACTGTTTTACGGAATTGCGAAGCATCCTCGGGAATAAGCTCGTCAGCCATACTATATGTATACTTGTATGATTAATTATTGCCTTAAAGCAGAAAGTATTACGAACTGGTGATGCGTTTCAGCTGGCGCTCATTTGTCCAAGAATCCTACTTCGTTCATGGCAAAGGAATCTCGTCCAATCTCTGTAATATCATACCCTTAAAGCACCAGAAAAGTTTATTGCAACCGCGATTTAAGAAGCATGCTGATTCCTGCAACATAGAGCACAGAATATGTCCTGATACCTCAGCATGTTCTCAAAACGCAGTTTTTGAAGCTTTTGGCAAAGACAGTTTCATAGCCCGTTGCCTATTTTTGAACTATATGCCGTTTAATACCATGACTTGTGCAAAATTTTTAAAAATTATTTGTTCGTTCGGTACTGATCCTACTTCCACACTCTGGCTAGCCATCCGTCTCTCCCTCCGCATCCAGTTTAACGGATGCAAATCTTCGACTCTATCAAACAACTTACTAATTTCGTAGGAATGGTTCTATCTCTTCTCCTCATCACAGTATACACTAATACATGCAAGTCAACTCTGTGAATAACTGCATATAATATGTCGATGACACCTTGTACTGTTCAGTTAATTTAGTAGATGATTTCGCAATGTATTCTTGGGCAAACACTTCCACTCAGGACTGGAAGGCATTCCTGCCATAGAATAAGCAACTTTCCCACTCCTCTTTTTCACGACAGAGCCGATAGACAAGAGTTTCAGCACAGACTATCAAGTTGTGACCGCAGACGAAATTCTACGCTTTAGTGCATGTGTGAAAAAGGTCATCATCAAATTGCAACTATTCTTTCAAACGTCTAACTTCATTACAAAGCCTGAATGTAATCAAGGAGCTGTTTCTTTGAACGTGTATTCTAATTACATATATGTTCCAAAATGCCATATGAAAAGCTGACAGCACTGTAAGACGTCAGGCCGTGCTTTGATTAAATAAAGATGCTGCAGGTTCCAGTGAGTCAGGCAGTCGACAGAAATGCAGTCCGGGTCAATTCTGAGGCTATACGCTGTAGAACTTTACAATATCGTTAAAATAATCGTTCGAGCTGATGCTCCAGGAAAGGTCACTAACTACCAAAGGTTAGCTGCAGGTCAATGCATTTGAACTCCTATATATTTTGCGACTACCGTTTAATGAGCTGATTTCATAGTTTAAATCGTTATAATTTGACGGTAATTATATTTGTCCTAATGCTTCTTTACTTATGATAAAATGCTAGACTTTCTGCCAATTTTGCTTAGACAAAAAACTGTAGACCAATCATGTGCTGTTTATGCACTCCATTTCAATGTGATTGCTTTTAAAACAAAGAAACTTTCATG